ATGTTAATTTTGGATAGCAAAAAATACGCTTAAAACAAAATGTGCTTACCGGAAAAAAAAAACTGAACCGCCGATTCCTCTGAGTGTCTTTTAGAACAACTGAACGCCGAACAACATGTTGGAGCTAACTTCGATGAACTGAAAACAAGTCAAATGTCCGACACATCGCTCTGACCTCATATCCGGATTAACAGGAAGGTCCCCCTGTGTGTCAATCACGCGGTAGCCACGCCCTAAAGCCACTCTGCTTTAACGTCTATTTTCTTTTAAATATGACCATAATTTAAAAATAAAACATCATGTTGTATTGAAGAAAACTTCAAACTACAGATTTAGACCATACACACATAATGAATCACATTTGAAAACAAGTGTTGAGTGGGAGTGCTGCTGCTGGGTGTCTGCACTCTGCACTGGGTCCTCTGTTACCTGGATTATTTTATATCTGCCAAATTCTGTTTTATTTTTTAAGACTTACTATTCTATGACATTTTTTTAAACTTACTATACCAAGGCATTTTTTTAAACTTTCATTTATGTGTTTGGTGATTTTGTCAGATGACGTCACATTTATAACATCAGGATTTGACCATATGTCCAGAAATATACTAGGTTTTGGGTTTTGACGTGGTCTTGTTTTTCTATTTACCAGTGTGTTCTATCATTTGGTTTCATACAATTTGTCTTATACTTTAAAATGTGCAGTTTCTGTTTTATTCACGCATTAGTGTAAATATCTGCTCTATTTAAAGCCAATGTGCCACTAAAAATGAAACAAGGTCTGAGACACGGAGTAACAGGAGCTCTCGTTTGCTCACAGCTGCTGTGCATTTACCTATAAATGTATGATTTGAAGTAATCGTGAATTAGAACTAACCACTGAAAGTGTCTAAAGTTATTTCAGTAGCATGTTCCAGTGTCCATGTGTTCCCAAATGAATAATAAATTCAAATAGTTACAGTTAAATGCAGTTTTAAATGTCCAGGATCTTTTTTTGAATTCATACTGTTCTTATTAAATCAGGGACTTTGCTTTAGTCTGCTTCCTTGTTCTGTTGTTTTCCTACATCCTGCTGTCAGCTTTTTTTGACATATTGAAAGGACAGTTACTTTAGGAAAGGTTGTCTTTGCTTTTATGATGGAGGGAAGTGTAAATTAACTCAGTTTGTTCCTTTAAAATACAGTAGTGATATTAATACAAAATAAAATAAATTCAAAATTAGATCAATCAAACTTCAATCAAATTTTATTTGTATAACACTTTTCATACAGATTGGTGCTGTTCAAAGTGCTTCACAGATGAGCTAAAAGAAAAAGGACAAAGTAAGAAAGCTGACAACGAGATACAATGAAATGGATTTAAAAAATCTATAAGAACATAATTTTTTTTTAAAAACCAGACAATTCCTGACAAATAAACCTCAAAGACTGGAAACGTCAATTTTTACAACTGAAGGAAAAATCATTATCATTGGAAACGATTTCCAATACACATGATGAAATCACATGAAGACAACAGTATTACAACATCATGTTAACCAAACTGTCCCACATCACCAAAACAGTTTTACTGAAATCAGCATCATATAACAATTAATTTGAAATTGAAAATTGGTTTTACAAGTAATTTAAAGAGCTGGGAAAATACATTAAACAAAACAAAACAAAACAAAACAAAATTAAATCAAATAAAATAAAATCAGGCTGAACCTAATTTTTTTTCATTTGTTTGCTCCACCCCCTCGTTGTACGTCACAGCTGCCACACAGAGGTGTTTTGATCGAGGGGAAGTGTAAATAATGTGTTTTAAAGACACGTTTTTTCGGTTTGTCTTCGGTTTTTCTCCCGTGAATCGTCAGGTGAACCGACCTGCTCCACTTGTGTGACTCGGTGCGGCGTTACCTGTCAGTCAACACCGCAGATAAATCAGGAAATACAAAGTTTCATCTCTCTCCTTCTTTCTCCTCCTTCTCCTTCCTCGTGCAGCAGTCTGTGGTCGATCATTTCAGTGGATCACGTTGAGGAGACGATCAGGACCGATCATATGATGACCGGCCTCAGCTGGTTTCTCAGATCTATACTTCAGACCTGGTGTTAGTGAGTTTCCTGCAGGTCTGAGACCAGCTGAGCGACATGGATCACAGCTGCCAGGACTGGATGTCAGCGCTGCCCGAGGAGCTGTGGGACCTTCCTCTGACGAACCTGGCCATACCTGGTATATCCAACACCTTTATCTCGCTGTCTCCGCAGATTTGTAATGAAACCTCCCAACGCAGATTATTATTATACCTATACAACATATAAGCACAATACAGTCAATGGAGACTAATTCATTTCTACCGTTTTTCTTCAGTAGGAAACTGAGTATCTTTGGGTTTTTGGACAGTTTACATCCTAATGTTCATTGTACCTGTCTTATTTCTTTTCCCTTCTCCTCGCAGTGATGATCATCTGTAGTTGAGCTTTAACATCACAGGTGTGTTGAGCGGTGCTTTACTGTGTCTGTTCACACCTGTTCATGCAGGGAGCCATGATGCCATGAGTTACTGCCTGGACATAAACTCCCCTCTGCTCAGGTCTGAGTCCGACTCTTTCAGGCTCCTGGACAGACTGTTCCACTGCTTTACAAGACCTGCCATTTTCAGATGGGCCACCACACAGGTGTGTATGTAAGGTACACCTCTAACGTACAGCACCAGTCAGACAGCTTGTGGTATGTGGTATGAGAACATCCACAGGACAGACTGGTGTGGTGTTCTCGTACCACACATCACTCGGCAGTAAAGCAGGCTGGCCTGTTGGTGCAGAGAGATGTGAGAGTAGTAGGTTATCCAGTTGTATCTCTATATCAGTCTCACCTCTGATTTGCCTACTTGTGATTTGCCTACTGTGCTGTTGTGAGACTGGAGCTCTGTCACATTACTGCTGCTCTGTTGTGAAAACGCCTGTTGATACATGGAGTTTGGTAACCTGTGCATTGTCTATCTAAACAACAGGTCTGACAGAAAACACCTTCTCTAGCATCTGGGGAATTTGTGTAAATTGCGTAAAACCAAAGAATCTCATCCTTAGTTCAGCCATGACGCTTATTCCTAACATCTTACACAAACTGGAAATCTTCAAACTGTTGTAGTTAATATTTTGGAGTCGTTATGAAGTAATTTTTCAACAAGTCAAAGTTAATTTAGTCTGAAAATAAGGAACTAACAAACTGGATTAATAGAAGATATATTTTTTGAAGTTTAAATAACAGCAATTACAGATTTTTTTTGGCCATCAGGGGACAGCGGAAACAATGTTTATGTCTTTTCATGTGATTTCTTTGCTGTATATCTGTTTGTGCTGCATTTCTTAAATGAAAGGTGTAATACAAATAAAGTTTATAATCATTATTATTATTATTAGAGCTGAGGGGAACTGCAGAGTCAGATAGTAGTTTTCTGTGGGTTCATTACTACAAGTGATCCCACTCATATTTCACAGTCATTTAATCCACTGTAAAATATAAACATTTTGACAAACAGTCATTTCAGCACAGCGTCTGTTTGTGGTTCTTGAGCCAAATGATATCGATCACTGTAAAACAATATATCTAACTCTTGTATTACAAACACAGAGAACGGAAACACAGTGATAAAAATGAATTTCAGGATAAAAGCATCGAGGAGCAGCTGTCGATGGGGATTCGGTTCTTTGATCTCCGCATTGCACATAAACCCAACGACTCATCCAGCGACCTCTACTTCACACACGTCATATACACCCATTTAACAGTTCTGGTGAGTTTAATTACATTAATAAAAATGATTTTGCGCTTCTAAAGTGTGTTTATAGTAAATGTGCTTCCTTTACAGGAAACGCTGAAGTCTGCTGCCACCTGGTTAGAGTCTCATCCAAAAGAGATCGTTATCCTTGCTTGCAGCCACTTTGAGGGAATGGACGACAGATGCCACGAATCTTTCATTTTTTCCTTGAAGAAGCTGTTCGGCCCTAAACTCTGTCCCCGGAAGGTGAGTTTTCTCCCTGCGACGCTGATGTTCGGGGTAAAAACAACACTGTGCCTCAACACATCTGACCTGCCCTCCTCACACAGGAGTCAGGCCTGACCTTGCGGAGTCTGTGGGCGTCTGGTTACCAGGTCGTCCTGTCCTACGACGCCCAGACTGCAGAGAGACATGAGGAGCTGTGGCCTGACATCCCCTACTGGTGGGCCAACCAGCGCACGGCACAAGGAGTGATCAGTTACCTGGACTGGAACAAAGCTCTGGGGCGTCCAGGTGAGTTTAACCTTACATTAGAAACTGCTAATTATCAGCCAATTAAACGTGTTTCCTGGTGTGTTTTCATGAACATACTAGTTATTAAATCTGGATTTTTAACCCCCAGAGAGCTTCTTCGTCTCCGGCCTGAACCTGACAGCTGATAGGTATTACATCACCACACACCCGAAGGAATCCCTGCGGACGCTGACCTTCAGTAACTGGGAGTGTTTGAAGAAATGGGTGGAGGAGCAGGTGCCTGGCTCGGACCCCGAGAGCCTCAACATCATCGCGGGAGACTTTGTGGGGCCACTTCCACTCTGCCCTCTGGTCATTGCACTGAACAAAAAACTTGTGCAGAAGAAGAACAGCCAGATGAAGAAACATCACTAGCTGTGATTTAATCCCACTGATTCCAAAATACCTCATTTTCTCTTTTCTATATTTCTATCTGCTCTTTTATCCACATGTAGAGTTTGAACTGGAGGAAATATTTAGATAGAAACGGTTTCTGAATTTCTTACGTTAATTTCAGGTGTTTTTTAATCCCACAACATTCTGTATGTTTTGAATTTACAGTTGTAATGTGCAGTTTATATGTTTACAGGATTGTTTTATTATACTGTACAATACATGGTTTTTTAAAGACGTTTGTGGTCAGTTTGCAGTTTCTTGATTCACATGCACCACTTGTATTTGGAGCTGCTGCCCTGAAGGAGGGAGGATCGCTCCTGTCCCCACTTTATCTGCCTGTGAACAGTTTCTTGTAGCGTCCGTACGCAGCGTTGCTGATGATGACCTTGACGACAGCCGAGCCGTCATCTGCATTCACCTGCACGTCCCTAACGGTGGCCTCTTTGTACAGCCAGCTGTGGATGAGGAGGCGCGTTTACTACGGATGATTTGTTATTTATCAAAACGCACAGTGAAGAAAACCAGCTCTCACCTTAACTGCGGAGTGCTGAGGTCGACTTTGAGATCGAAAATGTGTTTTCCAGTCGACTTTACAATCTCTTCTTCTACTGCTTTCTTCAGCTCGTCCAGGCCTCGCTCCTCCAGGGCAGATATGGGCAGAGCGCTGGGCTCTGCAGACTGATAGCTGACAGGAACAGGAAACACTGGCTCAGTCCCATTCACATAAAAACAATAGGTCAATGATGATTATGAATTTCTTATACGGTTTTGAGTCACATAAATAAATCATTTTATTTCCTACATTCAGTTCTTTAAAGTTCAAATTTGTGGTTTTATGAAGCAAGATCTCGCTTTAAGAAATTCAACCCATCATAAATCTGACCTCCTAGAATTTAAAGGCTTGACAACAGATCTCTGTATTTTCTCTGTTTTTACTCGAGGGCTAAACTTGGTCTTATTTTCCACTTTAAATAGAAATTTAAAGATTTCTGAAAGTCTTAAGATTGATGTTGAAAATTTGCAGGTGGAACAGGATTTTTGTTCTTACCTGTCAACAAGGTCGGTTTTGTTGTGGACCTCTACCATGGAGCTCATCAGCCTCTCGGGGATTTCGAGGTTCTTGAGGATATTCAGTACGTTCACCTTCTGATTGACCGTCTCCGGGTGACTGATGTCTCTGACGTGAATCAACAGATCCTGTTGAAGTATGAGAGAGACGAGCGCTGTGGTCAGCACACTGCTCTGACACATCACACACATGCCTGATGTCAGCGTCAGGTACATACAGAGTGTTTGATGTCCTCCATGGTGGCAGAGAAGGAGTCAATGAGCTGGTGGGGCAGCTGGGACAGGAAGCCGATGGTGTCCACGTACAGAACAGTCATGCGGCTGGGCAGCTGGCCGGCGTGGACGGTGACATCCAGGGTGGCGAACAGCTGGTTTCTGGGCTGGAGGCCGCTGTCGCCGGTCAGTGCTTTGATCAGAGTTGTTTTTCCTGAGCAGACAGTCGGAGAAAAACATCATCAAACCGAAGACATGACCGAACAATGTCAAACAAAAACACTGCACCAGCACGGTTACTGCTGGACCTGGTGTTGTGTGGTGCCGCTCTCTCACCACAGTTTGTGTATCCCAACACAGAGACGACGGGGAACTCTCTGTGTGTTCGCTGAGATCGCAGCAGGTGCCTCTTTCGCCGCAGTTTTTCCAGCGCTGAGCAGATCTTCATCTCACGCTCCTTCAGCAGCCTCTGCTGGACCTCGAACAGCGTCTCACCTGTAAACACCGATCACCAAGCTGAAGCTCAATAACTACCACGCAGGAGGACTTGAAGGCGACGCCACAGTACCTGAACCTCCGATGTACCTCGCTCCTCCACCTTGCTGATCCATGTTTGAGATTTCATTTTTCAAACGAGATCTGCCAGTGATACACCAAGAATTAATACAAACAATGGCATCATGACACCAGATTAGGATATTTTAGGCAGCAGTGTAACAGAAGAAAGTTTATTTAAAGGATGGAAAATGTAAAGCAGCTAAAGTGACCTCAACAAGGGAATCTCAGCCAGAGAGATCTGTAACTTGGCCTCTTTAGTTCTGGCGTTGCAGCGGAAGATGTGAAGGACCACTGAGTATCTGTCAAAGACTTTAACCCCCCACGCTTCCTCAAGCTCTCTCTGTGTGGATGAAAAACCAACCGTCAGTGCAGCTCTCCTTTCTACTTGCAGCCAGAGGGAGATTTTCAGACACGCTCACCTCAGACAAAGGAGACAGACGCTCAACATTCACAAACACAGCAGTGATTCCTGATGTTTGCCTGATTTTCTCTGAGGGGGCAAAAGCACAGATGACTTGTATGAAGACACGGCTTAATGCATAGATTCACGAGTGGGCACTGACAGTGGATAATACCTGTAAGAAACTGGAAGTTGCCTTTGCCAAATATCCTCTTCTTCTCTGGTGTCTTGGTGGAGAGGACGACTGTGTCCACCACTCTCCAGTTGTCTAAAGTGTTGACGAGCCCCACGGCCTCGGCCATCATCAGCTCAGCTGCAGAGAGAGAGAGCAGTTAGTGAGATGAACCCTCTGACATGATCCACACTCGCACATCCACAGCTCGTCTTGTTACCAGTGGTCAGATGCTGCTTCTTTCTCCCCCACTTCACATCAGGCTGAACGATGAAGACCCTGTGTTGTCCCCCTGCGATGCCTTCAGGGGCCTGCTCCTGGAACAGCTCCTCCACCTCACTGTCCTCAATGAAATCTCCATCCTGCTCCTCCTCCTCCTCGTCCTCTGTGAAACCTGTCTGCTGTCCACTGTTGAAGGAGTCTGTTCTCTTGAACCTGCACGCAGAGAGTGCAAACGCTCTGGACTGGAGGGTGGGGGGCGAAGCTCTGAGCCACTGTGGCTTAAAGGAGGTCAGTGCAGCTGCATGGTGAGGAGTGTGGAGGAGGCTGCGGGGTGGTGGAGCTGCTCTCTGACAGCTCTGTGTGCAGGGTCGCTGCAGGAGGGGCAGCCACGGATAGATCCTCCTCACTGATGTCATGTTGATATCTTACTGGTATCATCGAGGGTGCAGTTTAATCTCACAATCACACAGTGCAAACTAGTTACACCGATCATCCTAAAACACAGCCACCAGGTCACCCTTCACGACTGTTGACGTTTTCTTCTTCTTCTTCTTGTTTACTGAAGGGTCGGAACAACCTGAGGAGCTCACACTGCCACCTACTGTAGCTGTGAGTATTGTTATTGCGCTGTATGTATTATTTTACCAATTCAATTCATATATCTAAAGTTAAATACCAGCTAAAGCTATATGAGCTGAAAAGGCAGTATGTTGTGTTTCAGTCCATGTGCTGTCGTGTTTTCAGCTTAGGGCGATTTTCCGGTATTTTGTCCCGAGCTACGACTTCCAGGCAGCGTTTCCTCCCAGGCTGCCTAACAAACCAAATCTCAATTACCAGCAGCTGGTTAAATGTCTGGATTTGTCCCCGGTGGTTTGTGGAGTTTGTGTTTGTTACCTAAATCCTACCGGATGAGGCCTTTATATGTAGTTTTGGATGAGGAAATCGCCTGGAAGTCTGAACTCAGGGACCAGAAAACGATTTAGCCCTAACGGTCGTCGTCTACTTCCGGGTTATGTAATTTCCGCTCTCAGTTTGTTCTCACCATTTCTTTCTTTATTGAAAAAATACTAAAACGTAAGTAATATGGAAACAATTCGGTCCACGGAACATTACACTTCTTTTAACACAAAAGTACAAAATGAATTTTATAAAAGTATATCGGTTTCTCACGGCTACCGCCTGCCCCCTAGTGGACTGCAGGGTTATTGCATTTTTTAGGTTTAATATAATTTTCATTTTGACTTTTTATTCTGGCTGACATTACAGTGCTAGCTTAGCCTTAGCTTCATTCTTGTTACGCTATGTATAATTTCTCTTGGAGATATTAGGCTCGAAGGACAGATATTTTCATGCTTTTGGTGCATTTCATCTCAGATTATTTTGAAGGTAATGATTAATTTTCATTTTATTTCACCTACACTAAATGGTTTATCTTGTGCCACTTTAAGTTTCAATTCATCTGAACATGGTTTATGTTTGTTTCTTATTTTCTGCTGATATTACTGCATGTTTTTTTGTATGTATTCTGTATGTTTATAGGTAGATAGAGATTTCAGTCATATAGAGCTTTTAAACCTTATTTAAAAAATTCAACCAAGCATCTTAGATAAAGACATTAGCTCACAAGTGAAAACATAACTGCCAAAAACATAGTTAAACAAGTAAGAATTAAAATAAATAAATGGTAAGAAAATAATATAATAAGTAAAAACGTAAAAGATAAATGTCTTGTAAAAGGTAGTTTTAATTACTTTTTACTTTTAATTACTATTAACTAAAGATTTAAGAAAGATGACCATGTTTTTAAATACTTCGAACATTATATCATATATTAACATTTGTGTAAATAATATTTGGCAGCAACATATCGTTTTTTCCTGCATAAATCCTCCAAACAGTGTCACTATGATGAAGTGTTGAGTTTGTTTTTTGAGCACAGCCATTAATTGTTCCCCCCAAAAGAGAAACTGACAAAAAAATAGAGAAAATCTGCAGCTATTAAAATTTCATTTTTGTAAAGATTCAATATCATCTTTACAAAATTTGAAATGATTATATTCACTATTAGAATATGCAGCGTGGATCTATATTACTTTTGGTGAAAAGTTTAATATTTGGTGTTAATTTGAACAGTATCTCTTTTAGAGTAGGTACTCCTGTCACACTCACGCTTTTGATGTGTGAACCTGTGCTGGGTGTCATATCCTGCCTTCCTCACAGCTCGGGTGTGTGGGTGTGTGTGACCTGAAAACAAGTCAAACAGGTTGGACTGAAGTCCGCGGAGTGGCTCGTAACAGCGGCAGTGCTTTTGGGAACTGGGGAGGCCGGTGTTTTTCAGTGCGTTCAGCCTGGGAATCTGTTCATTTTAAAAATCCGACGGCGACACTGTTTGTTAATGAAACCAGAAAAGACCAGAGAGAACCCAGACGTGGTTCAACAAGCCGCAACATGACAGTGGATTCCTTCAGCGTGATGAACAGTGTGCGTAAGACCTGGAGCTGTTAAAGGGAGCCAGCAGAAGACGGGGACGTTAAGTTAGAAGGATATAAGTTAGTCACAGACATGTCTTTGTTCTTTAAATTAAAAAGCAAATTATTTTTTGACTATTTTTGCGTCTTGCGCGCACAGACGTGCCCACAGAGGGCGATGCTGGTGGCACTGTGGCGCACAGGACTGGTGCTCAGCTTCCTCAGTGTCTGCGCCTGTGTGGGTAAGAGGACTCTGTCTGCTCATGCAGATTAGACACTGAAATAACTGCTGCTAATGAAACTTAATGATGTACCTTCATTTCTTTATTCACAGAGCAAGACTGTGTCCTTGGCATAGTGGGAAGGCCGGTCTCAGTGCCCTGCTTTTACCCTGAATTATTAACCCATGTGAATTTTTCCATTGAGTGGAGGAGAGATGATGAAGTGGTGCTCAGGTCAGAGTGGGAAGAGGATGTAAATGTGGGGGGATGGAGCAAGAACAGCGCAAAACTCTCCTCTGACGCTGCACTGACTGGAAACTTGTCTCTGGAGCTGCCTGCAGTCGATCCAACAGAGGAAAAAGTGTTTTATAGACTATTCCTCATTTCAGGGGAGAATCAAAGTGCTGCCCTGTGCACCGTGTGCCTGAGAACAGCAGGTCAGTGTTTGACACATAGGAAGTAATCAGAGGATTATTAAAGGAACTAACTCATGTCTCTGATGGCTGTCTGCAGCCAGTTTCAGCTCCCCACTGCTGCAGAGGGAAGAAGCAGCGCCAGCAGATGGGACGACCTTCCTGTGTCACTCCAGCGGAGGTTTTCCTGAACCTGCTGTTTACTGGCTCATCAATGACACAGAGGAGCCCCCTGAAGGCTCAGTGAGGACCCTGGCAGCATCGCTCCCTGACTCCCATCTCTACAACATCACCAGCCTCCTGACGGTCAACGTCTCCAAAGACTCCAGGGTGTCGTGCATCATAGAGAACATGTCCATGAACCAAACCTTGACCTCCACGAGCTGTGAGTGACTGACACCCGCTCCGTCAGTTGCTAGGCCTCAGACGCTCCTGTAAGTCACCTCTCCTTCACTAATCTCTGGTTCTTGTGCTCAGACGGCGTGCAGGGCAGCCCGATGATCCGGCGAGCATCAGAGGGCATGTGGATCTTCAGCACAGCTCTCTGTGTGGTGGTTGGCCTCATGGTGGTAGCGGGAGTGGCCTATCAGATCCACCTGGACAGGATAAGTAAGAGGAGGAAGGAGGAATACCAGCACCAACGCCAGAACAGAGGTAGGCATCTTCACGACAGGACAGACGCGCCACAAACTACATCAAGTGTGTTTACATGTGCACTAGTTATGATCTGGTTTCTGGAGTATCCAGGTTGTGTTGTTCTGTGCATGTTTTCAGAAATGTGACCTGGAAACTACAGAGACCAGGATACTGTTGCATGTAAACAACAGAACATAGGGGCACATGGGTATGAATCATAACATTTCTCGTGCTACATGTAAATGTCACATCCTCAATGAGATCCAAAACCAGGATAAAACTCAAAACCAGGATCCTAGCATGCAAATAAACCCGCTCACAGCCTCCACTGTTCCAAAATAAAACCACACATTTGCCTGGATGTTTCTCCTCCGCGGGACGGAGGATTTTTCAGACTAGTCTCAACTCTCACAAAAAATAAAAAAGTTTGCCACTCTACCCCTCAGGCAAACTACGAACCATGTTTCCATGGTAACAACCGGTGACACCTGCAGACCAGTGGCACCAAACAACTAACTCACACAACTCACAGTAAAACGTCCTTGTGACCGTCGATAATAAACATTTTCTGCTGCAGTGGACGGAGCTGAGCGCTCTGACCCGGTTGCTCTGTCAGTCGTGTTTCTTTAGTTTCGTAACTTCCACAAAATTTGTGGAAAAATTTGTTCAACCAGTTCTATCCATCATATCCTGCCCACGTCTGTCAGACCTGCCCCATCCATCCATCCATCCATCCATCCATCCATCCATCCATCCATCCATCCATCCATCGCTTCAGATCTCGGCTCAGAACATTTTTACCATCATTAGTGTCTGTTGATGTGTTTGATTCTCTGAGTTGACTGTGTTGTTCATGGTGTTGTACAGCGCTTTGCTCAGCTGTTTGCTGGTTTTTACATGTTGCTCTATAGATCGATTTGATTTGATGTGATTGTCAAACGTTGGAGCGCTTTGTGAAAACTGTTAACACTAAAATACATTGTGTGTTCGATTGTATTTTTGGCCAAAAATACAAAATGTTCCAGTGTTTCAGCTCAAAGAGCAGAGGGAGCAGTGCAGCTCATGGATTGTGTAGATTTATTGGTTGAACTGGAGAAAGTTTGGAGGAAGTTAAAAGACTTTCTGGTCGACCACAGGGAATGTGGTGTCATGTGACAGGAAGCAGGGCACAGTGTCAGGTGACCTCTCATCATCAAGATCAATATTTCACATCCTTAAACCTGCATGTATGTAAAGTGCTTGTTGCTGAGGCAACAGAGCTCTGATTTGTAAACACAGCACTAACAAAGCTTTTCTCAAACACGCAGCTGTATTCGACAGAAGTGGAACACGTGCTATTGTTTCTGTGTCTGCTGGAAACCTTCTGCTGTCGACTGAAACGACTGTCTTGTTGTCTCCAGGATACAGGAGACGACATCTGTACGAGAAGGAGGCCGAGGCCATGAAGCTGCAGTCGAAAGAGACCGACGTTTAAAACCACAAACTCTCAACCGTCACTTTTTCAGCCAACAACAGGCAACAGAGCACTGATTTGTAAACATTAACCACTGGGTTGACTATTTAATACGTGTGTGTGTGTGTGTGTGTGTGTGTGTGTGTGTGTGTGTGTGCGCGTGTGTGTTTTGTGGGGTTATATAGATAAGTATGGTTAATGTCTCACCACCATCTTCACTTCCTGGATCTGTTTTGTGATTGGTGGTCTCTCTCTCTCTCTTTCTCTTTTTCCAACATTTAATAAAGATTCAATAAAGTTTTATTTAACCTCACAAATCTATTCATATGTTTCAATCATGACATGTTTTTATTTGTGGTACATTTCAAATCTGTCAAGCCACGATCAACAAATGTTTTTTTCATGAGCCAAAATAAAGTGAAATGGATGAAAGAACAAAACAAGATAATGAGTGTTCGTCTGTGAAGGGATGAAGATAATTCCTGTAAAAATAGTTTCTCTCTGAAATGAATCTGAAAGATTAAAAAGAGGTAAATCTTCAGCTTCAGTTGATCGACTTGCTTGTTTCAGACATCATAAAGAGATAATCACAGTTCCACCCTGAAGAGTTCGGCAGCATCACTGCGCTCAAATCACCGGGAATCAATCAGCGCCCGTCTCGTCTGCATTTCCTGTTTCCACAATAAAGAGTCCCGGGGGGAAGAGGACGGGCCGTGGCAGAGACCTGATGCGTAGTTGGCGTTTGGTCCCTTTCGCTCCTGGTTCCTCAGCCGGATCCTTCCTGCACTGACGTGACGGCGTAGAGGTCGTCACGGCGCTGAGCTGTGATCGGGATCTGCTGCCGGATGTCGGCCAGATACTGCAGGTCTGGGGACGCAGGTTTAACACAGGGTCAACACACACAGGAAGTGGACACGATGATGCAATCCAGTACAGCTGCCCTGATTTAATCACCTCTGTGACTGTTAGAATAATGTTTCTACTGGATCATTTCTCAGTCTGTAGTTTGTGTTGTTGCTCTGAACACTGTCAGATCTTCCTTTTATCTCTCCCTTCTTTATAGGCAAAGCTCCTTTATTTCTACAGCACATTATCAAACACAGAGGTCGTTCAATGTGCTTAAGAGAAAATTAGAAAATAAGGATAAAGAATAAGTAAAAAGCAAAAATAAGAAAACAGTTAAAAAACTTATGCTAATGCTTTAGAAGAAGAAGCGGGTTAAGATTCTTTTAAGGGACAAAAGATCCCACTCCCACAAGATCAGGAGGAAAGGAAGAGTTGATGCTCAGAGAGGAACTGCTCTTCCTCTGTGGTCAGCGTGCGTCTTGTTTCTGTGTTTTCCTATATAAACTATATAAGTGTGTGTGTCAGTGTTGTTGCCTTTTAGCAGTGTATTGTTGAATTTACTGGAAAACCCTGGAGAAGATTAATAAGCTAATGATTCTCTGATAAAACTTATTTGGATAAAAGATTAATGTAATTTCTTTCATGTTAAAATGTAACACCCTCCACACGAGATGCATCATCCAACTAATCTTTCTCAGTCTGATCAAACACGTTTCAACACCACAGCAGAGCGCCGAGACGCACCGCCGCCCTATCATCCAGATGTTATCAGTGCCACTGTGCAGCTCGTCAAGAAGACGTCACTGACAGAAACCAGCCTGTGCTCGTTTATCCTCCCGATCCTCCGTCTGCAGAGACCAGCCCGGCGCTCCCCCACTCACCGATATCAGCGTAAATAACGGCCTCCTCTGCTCCGGCCTTGCAGATCACTTCTCCCCTGCAGAGACGCAGCGACAGAGACAGAAAATCACAACTCTGTAAAACCCAACACCTGGAAATATCCACAGACAGACAGAGCAGGCTGCAGGTGGTGATTATGGGAGGAGAGTCATAAGTGTTTCTTCTTAAAGTCGTGGAACGTCACTAAATACATTTACTCAGTCTAGTTTGATATAGTTTGAGTCGGTAGTTCGATCCCCTGCTCGTCCAGGCCGCATGTCAAAGTGTCATTGGGAAAGATACTGAACCCCAAACACCCTCTGATGGCTGCTCCACCAGAGCACGAGTGTGTGTGGAGGAGGAAGCGTCGTATGAACGGTTCGAATGCGACTCGTCGGGTGAAGCGATTCGAGTGGTCGGTCGATAAGACTAGAAAACACTGTGGACAAACAGACTTCCCATTTGAACTACAGACTCTGTAGATGGGCGCCTCTTTCTAAGCTCGGGTGGCGGGAAAGACGTCAACTAGCACGAGGTTAAAACCAGAAACACCGACCGTGGAGGACTGGATTGACATTATTTATGAATGTTTTTAGGGTGGAAAGAGTTACTTTGCAACAGGACAAATTAAGGAACATCTGGGAAACATGGATAAGATACACAACACCTGTGCATCATTCCTATAACGTCCTATAACAAGTAAAACTGACTTGACTTCTCATGCCCCCTTTTCATAAATGGAGGAGGATCAGGAAGATACGCCCCAACTTTCTTTTGTTGCAGTTATCTGGATTGGTTTGGCTTCTCTGTTTTGTATTTCATGTTTTATCTATTTACTTATTTGCTTTTTGTATTTCATTTTATTTGTATTTTTTTTGGATGCCTATGATTTCATTCACTTCATTGATCCTCTATTGCTTCAGTATTATCTGTTGGTCACAGCTGAGTTCTGCAGAAGAAGAAGCCATCACACTGTTTGAATGGATCATGAAGTAACACAATAAAAAAAGAAAAGAGCTCTATATACTCGCACTTTAAACCAGTTTACACTTCTGCTTCAGTACATTTTAAAAAGTGAAATGTACTTTTTACTTTGCAAAAGAAGATTTTACAAATACAATTAAATCAATTAAATCCCACAGTATATAAATAATTAAAATTGGCTCCATCTCAGTCAGATACGACAGTAAAATGTCACTCAGTTATAATTACATCATATTTTACATTTGACCTTTCCTCTCATTTCCTGTCACAGCTCCTTCGCCACCATGTACCTCTCTTTCTAACCCTCCTCTCCGCCCACATTATGAGCTGATCAGATGACACAGAAGGCGACATGTGACTTACCACGGGTTTACGACAGTGCTGTGACCCCAGGCGACATATGAAGCAGTCTCATCTCTGGCAGGTGACGCTGTGGCCACGTACACCTGGTTATCAAGCGCCCTGCACAGGAGACAACAACACGGACACAGTGGTCATGATAGTAATGGCATCATTAACAGATTAACATGAATCACGTAACATCAACAGCTCATGTGACATGTGATATTAAACTTTAGTTGCAGGTTTTGAACTATTTCCTTATTTTTTATTCCTCAGTGGAGTGTCCCTTTGTGACTCATATTTCATAATGTTAAAGGTTAAAGCTCCTCCAGTGTAAAGGTCTGTGTCCATGTGTAGTGTGATTATAGATCAGCTCTAGCTTCTATATTAATACTGTGAAAGTATCAAAGCCTCAGTCCACAGAGAAATGCACACAGCCTGTATTCAGACACTGAGCCTTAAAACCAGCTGGACCCACCATCCAACGTTTACAGGAGTGTTTAACTGAAATCTGATATATTTTTATTGGATCTCTCAGAAAACAGTCAGCCAATCAGAAGAGAGGCTCAGAGCCTCCTCTCTTCTGATTGGCTCACCGACCTGTTGTTATTAGAGCTCCAGAGAGAAGCCTGATGTGAAACTACACTGAGATGGTTTTTGGTTCCTAAAACCACAAATATATCTTCTTATGGATCAATACTTCAAAAACACAGATGAAGAAGAAGAAGAAGAAGAAGAAGAAGAAGAAGAAGAAGAAGAAGAAGAAGAAGAATCGACTGTAATAAATATTAAGTGCATTTTAATCAGAGGATTTTGGATGGTGATGGAGTCGGAGCCTCACCTCCCTCTCTGCAGGAGCTCCCAGTGCGCTGGACCAGTCGTCATGTTGAAGGCTCCGGGGTAGAGCAGCAGCTGACAGCCTGAGGACCAGAGGACAACAACATCAGCCATCTTTACCCGCCACTAAAAACGGCGTGACTAATGTCAAACAAACCGTCACTTCAGCACATTCACCTTTCCTGCTGTAGAGCTGAGCGAGCTCTGCAAACCTCATGTCGTAGCAAATCCCCACTCCCACTTTGCAGAACGCTGTGGGAGGAAATCACACAGATCAAAACGGATGCTCGTCCAGCCGCAGGGACACGGCAGGACTCGGGAGACGTCACTCACGTGTCTCAAACACTGACAAACTGTCGCCTGGACTCAGTGTCTCTGACTCCTGGAAGCGAATTTTCCCGGGAACGTCGATGTCGAAGAGGTGAATCTTGACAGAGGAAACAGACGAAGAGAGAGATTCAGTTTAAATAAGTTACAAACAAATAAACAGTGTAGTTGATTCACACACACCTTCCTGTGTTTAAGAATCAGCTCTCCATCAGGTGCGAACACGGTACAGCTGTTGTACAACTTCCCACCGTCCTCCTCAGGGATCGATCCTGGTCAACAAGAGTTTTACTTTTTAGTTCTGCTACATCATCACTTCCTCCTTATTTATCCTCTAATCATATTCATCATATCAGAGTTAGAGCTGAATGATCTGGAAAAATATCATATTGTGATTATTTTTCCAGATGTTGGGATGTGAATCATGATTTCAGCTGGATGGTTATTTTTGTATTTCGTCTTCACTTGTTGCAGCTTCTTTATGTGATACAAGTGACATGGAAGTCAAAGTCAGACAGACGGACAACACCACTGAGTTTGTGTATTAACTCTGCTGTTGGTGGAGAACGAGTGTTAACCTTTAACTCAGTGGCATTCACACCAAAACATCTGGTTTAGAGTTTACCTTCTACATGGAGAAGGGAACAGATGCATAACGTTTCATTCTCTGCGTCTGAACAGTAACTCACAGAAATTAGAGAAAAGTAAATTACAAAATAATCTCCAAAACAAAAGGACGAGTCGTGATACTGGAGTTTATATCAGGTTCCCAGAATAATACAAGTGATTTTACTCTCAGTAACTTGATCACTGACTTTTGTTTTCTCAAGACAACGAGCTGATTAATGAGTGAACATTAGAAAACGTGTTTGACATATTAAACAAAGTGGAAACATTTTGATCTCCTGCTCGCACTATAATACAGTGTGGTGATCAGAATTATCATTACAAGTGAATATTCAAAGACACACGGACTGCAGCATGGAGGTCAGCACAGGCGCAGACGTCTCCCTACCTCCCACCAGATACACCTTATTCTCCCTCGCTGCCTCTGACAGCACCTGGGTGGACTCTCCTGGGATCCTCTCGGCGTACGCAGAGAAGAAGCTGGTTCCATAAGGAGAATTGAAGCATTCCTGTATTTATGAGCAGAAGCGAGAGACCATCAGTTTTACAGCAGGAAGTGAGTGAGTTGTGGCTCGAATCCTGGACTCAGGCTGTAACTTTGCGATTGGATTTCCTTGTCTAGACATCGTTCCAGTGTTAATCGATAATACACATACAGTACTATCTCAAATAATAATAATAATAATATAATATTTATGGAGAACTTTACTAAACCCACGTGACAAAGTACTTCACAGAGGGAAGCCAAATAAAACATGCAGGTTACGACAGTTAAAACAAGCAATAAGAAATACAATTAAAGTGTCTGAGCATTAGTGCAAATAAACCAAAGGCAGCGTCAGCAGCAAGAGAGCGATCAGTAAAAATCAATAACACCAAATAATTAAAAAAGTTGTCAATAAAATGAAGTAAAATAGAAGTAAAATCAGGAAAAGCTCTAAGATAAAAGTACGTTTGAAGAAGAGATTTAAAACAGGTGACTGATTCAAAGGTAGACCTGGGAGTCCGGGGTGTATGGGTGACACAGGGGCTAAACGCCTGGGTCTCTACCTCCACCTGTCCAGATGTGTTGTGGGAAGCTGGTGAGGGATCATGTCTTGGACTTTCAAAATCATTCAGACTTTTTTTTTTTTTTTAGCATTTTGCACTGAAAGTCTCTATTTGTCCAACTTTTGTAAACTTTCCTTCATCTCTTACACTGGAATCACAAAAGTAAAGGCTCTCACAGTCAGTTTAAACTACCAATAACACTTTATATCTACATGTGGGCATGCGACACCTCCTCCTCACCGGCAGCAGCACCACTTTGCTGCCTTTTCCCGCGGCCTCCTTCACCAGCCCGCGGGCTCTGCTCAGGTTGTCCGCCTTGGCGCCGGTCACCTGCAGCTGCACCACCCCCAGACGGAACCCTGTCAACACAGAGGACCGTCAGTGTGTTTCTGCTACAACCTCACAACCGTGCAACACTTGAAGGAGTCATTAGTGCGCTGTAAATGTCCTCGGCAGTTATTTATATTTATATTTAAATACATATTCAGTTAAACACAGCACACAGTATAAATATCAATACTTACTGGACATTGCTTTTGCTAAAGTGGACATTTACGCAGGGCAGTCCTGTTTGGTTTCAGTCCAGTCCAGTCCAGTGCAGGGCATGTGATTCCGGGTGGCTGCTTGGTTTTCAAAATAAGAGTCTGCACTACGTGTTTGTCACTGAGGTCCATTAATAAAAAAAACAAAACAAACAAAAATCAATGATCAAAACACAGCAATAATACAAACAAAATCAAAATAAAACAAAAAACATATATATATAAGCATGCATGTAAACTGTGGAATCAATAAATACCCATAAAATCCACTCCCGCCTCGTCAGCCCCATAGACGGCGGCTCTTGCGGTGGAGAGCGGGTTGCCTCTCTCCTTCAGACGGGACAGATGGAACGCGCTCGCGGCACCACCCTGGGTTTTGCGCACTATCTGGCGGGAGGTAAAGACTTCAGTTTGCCGTCCTCCCTCCCCGGTTCTCTGGCACAACAAAAACAAAAAAACAACGCTGATAAACTTGTGTAAAGGTGATTTTATTCTTCTTCTTATTTAAAGTCACTCTGGGACAAACGCTCGAGCTTACATAAAGTTCAGACCCTTTAATGTGAAGTTTAGAGACGCAGTGACGTCAGCAGGGGGTGTGTGTTTCACTGCCAATCCGGTTTCAGTGCGAGACTCTTGAATGTTTTCTCAATGTTCAACAGTCAGCAGCAAATATTGGCCTGAAATTAACATACTGGATAGAAATGATCGTCGTTCAAACTGTATTTATATCATCTACAGTTACATCTGATTTAATACTTTGAACATGTGACGCTTTATAACTATTCTTATGGATTATATTCTTTATGTTGCTAAAGGCTCTTTTTCTCTTTGCAGAGATATTTCCATACTCGTCTTAAACATAAATAAATAAAACATGAAATTCCTGTTCCACAGAAACCTGTTTACAACAGTCGGACACAAGAGCAAATAATGCATTTGCTTTTTCTTCCCCTAAAACTAAACACACAACGACCATTGCTTTGTACATAGCAACTTTTGTTCTTCCCAAGGTGGAGGATAAATGAGGATTTAACTCCATTGTAGCTTTTCATGAAAGTCACAAAAAATATAACTACTATTTTAAAGCTCCATGTTTTACACATATCCAGTGTTTTATTTTGAAGTGTTGATCCATAAGAAGATATATTTGTGGTTTTAAGAACCAAAAACCATCTCAGTGTAGTTTTACATCATGTTTCTCTCTGGAGCTCTTGTAACAACAGGTCAGTGAGCCAATCAGAAGAGAGGAGGCTCTGTGCCTCTCTTCTGATTGGCTGACTGTTTTCTGAGAGATCCAATAAAAAATATAGCAGATTTTAGGTAAAAACACTCAGAGAAACCAAATCCTTTAAGGTCTGGGTGGTGGGTCCAGGTGGGCGGGGCTTGAGACTGCTTTGTTGTGACATCACAAAAGTCCAGAAGTCCTGACGGCTGGTTTTAAGGCTCAGTTTCTGAATACAGGCTGTGTGCATTTCTCTGTGGACTGAGGCTTTGATACTTTCACAGTATTAATATAGAAGCTAGACCTGATCTATAATCAAACTACACATGGACAGAGACCTTTAGACTATATGAGACCTTTAATCTACATACCTGTCAAATAACAGTGTATGAATGACTAATTCCATGGGTGCAGTCGAATAATCTCCATTTATTAAAAACAGAAACGCTTAGAAAATAATAGCAGTACAGTAAGGTGCAAATTACACTGAGACATGTTGCGTTTCGACTAGTGGTTGACATCATTTGCCAGTGATGTTACAGAGTTATGTAAAGACTCCCAGTCAAGGATGTTCAACAGAATACTGAGAAGTATCACAAAATTACAAATTACAACACAATGCGTGGGTTACACAGGAATGCTATGAAAGACTGAAGGGAAGAAAGACCAGATTTATGAGTCTTTAATTCAAGTTTTGCTTTTTGTTGCCTTGTTTTTGTTGCCTTTGTTGCCTTCTCCTCTCATTTTAAAGGATCACAGAGATAAACCCTCTCTGGACTGAAGCTTCCACTGGATCTGTCAGGAAGATGCTGCATCTCTTTAGAGGCTTGGACACTTTAAACCCAGGCTGCCTACACAACAAGACCTCAGCGCAAATGAATACGTAAGCCAGAACAAAAGCGAGGAAAAGTCCCAATCAGGTTTGTAAGATTTAGATGAGAAGTAGCGGTACACTGTGATATGCTGCCACTGCTGGTGCCAATGTCACACATCGCAGCCATCAGGCCAAAGGCAAAAGTGGCGAGCAAACTAAAGCTGCTGAGTGATGACGAACGCAAACAGACGAGACGGACTGATTTTAATCCCTGTCAGAGCTCAGTCCTTAATGCAGTGATCCTTTCTCTCTGAATAGTACGGCGGTGCTTCAATTACAGTAACAGCCTTCTTCATTATCAGCGATTTAAGTGGGAAAATCATTCGCATACTGAATCTGAACGGGATGGAAAATACTAAGGTGCTCAGGCTCTTAATAACTGCAATCACCGAACCTCCTGTTGTAATACCGATGGAGTCCAGAGGGGCTGTGAACGATGCTTTCGGAGAGCTACATCCGACTGCTATGAGATGAGGTTAATTCATTATTATATGTAAAAGCAGAGAATAAATTATCTCCCAGAAACTCTGTAAAAGGCTCACTTCTTACTCTAGAAAGAAGGGGAACTTCAAACCTTGTGAGCTGGTTTAGAAGCCAGTTTTTAAGTTTCACTGCATATTCTAACTATCAGGATATGCTTTCAAAACGACATTGCAAAGGTCTGTGCTGATATAGAGCAGTTTACACGATATATACATCATATATTTATAAACACCCTCAAATAATTTCTATTTAAGGCTGCCTGCTGGAAAAAAAAAAGTTATCAAAAACAGTTGTTGCGGTAGGAAACCTGCCTCATGTGCCAGCACTGCTTCTCTTTTTTCTTTTTTTTTTTTTTGGGATGTGCATCTTTACATGGAGTTTGCTGACTCATGCTCACGTCCTCACCAGAACAATGATCATTAAATCTACCGAACACGTCCGAAAAGTAAATAAAGAGACATGACTGAACTGCATTACTGTTTACTACAAAACAGAGGGGGGTCAGAATGGAGATGCTCGAGTCAAAATGAAAAAGGTCAGTCATGTGACGATTGAACAGGTCCGCCACTGGTCGGTCTGTACGCTACGTTAAGGCCAGAGGGAAATCGCCAAAGTGGAATTGCACCGTAATGAGATCCCGTGTTTTATCAAGAGTAACGTAAAACATACACTATAACCAAGGTTTTTTTTAAATTAGTGTAAGAGAATGGTTTGATGACTGCAGAGCACCCAAGTATTTCAACACACACAGTGTAGTCTGCAGTCAGCGGTGTGTGTGTGTCCCCCCCCCCACCCCCCATGTCCCAAAGACACAGACACACAGGGCTTTACAGTCAACACTGCACTGGATCCGTCCAGGAGGGAGGACAGCCACAGCCGAGGGAGAGCGGGAGAAGGTTTCACTCTCGGCAGACGGAGACTCTTATAGTTTGTGTCACGGCTGGCCGTCGTGATCCCGCCCCCCAGTCGCCACACCGTCACCTCCCTTTACGAGCTCTCCAGAGCGTCTAGGACTTTCATGATCTGCTGCTTGATGACCTTAGTGGCATCGCCTGCGTTTGGTATCAAATATCTAAGAGAAAGGGAGAGAAAGAGGAAACAGACATGAAGTTTCATCCTACAAAAAACTACCAACAAATAGAAAATATTTTATTATCTAAAGAGTTTCATAAAGATTAGCTGTAATATCCTAAGATAACGAGTGTATGTCTAATTAAGCCTGTAACACATATTGTGACAGTTTGGGAAATATGCTGAGCTTTCTTTCTTGCTGAGAGTTAGATGAGAAGATTAATGCCGCTCTCACGTCTGAATGCTAATCATGACGCTATAGCCAGTAGACGATTAGCTTAGCTTAGCACCAAGACTGGAACGCACCTGTTTTCTGCTAAGATGAAGCTACAGCATGTAGCTCCCCATTAAACCACAAATTGTTATTTTAACAATTAAAAAGGTGTTTGTAGGTGTATTTTTAAAACCTTGGAAAGAGCCAGGCTAGCCGTGTCCTCAGGTGTCCAGTCTTTATGCCAAGCTAAGCTACTTGCCCGCTGGCCCCAGTTTCATATTTACCGTCCAGACATGAGAGTGGCGTCAATCTCATCAACCTTCTGGCAAGAAAGCAAATAAGCACATGTCCGAAAATGTCGATCTATTCCTTTTATGCTGCAATTTGCTTTTTTCCCCCCATCAAGTAAAAAACAAACAAAAACAAAAACAGCTTTCCATCTCCCATAACATGCTGCAATTTATGTTATTATGGAAGTGTAACTTTACATCGTAAATGACTGAATAAACCAGAAGAACCAAATAACTGGACCAATCAGGTAATAATTGTCCTGTATGAATACAGCCTCTGTATTTTATCACTGCTTTAAAATCACCCAGATTCAAATTTGAAATCTGCGTCTGTAAAACAAGCACCTCTCCACCGCCGATATCTCCACTCCAGCCGAGTTGTTGCTGCCAAACTTGAAGGTGATCAGTTCAGGGTGCTTCTTTTTGGATGTGATCTTCACCACAGAGTTCAGTGCTTGTCTGGACTGGATGTAGGCAAAGCCTTTTCTTGAGGCGATCTCCCTCAGGCAGTACATGTGAGTCGCTGTGATCAGCAAGTGGCTGCAAACACAAAAGAACAGAGTGAGTGTTCGTTTGATTTGAGGGAAGTGGGAATTAGTCACATTTAAATGCAACTTCCCCTCCTCCGTACTCCAACGCCCATGACAGCTGTGGAGGATGGGCGTCATGAGGAATATCTATTACACACGTTACCAAAGTCACTCAGGCAGGCGTCCCACTCACCTCGGGAACATGTGACCAGTTTCTTTCACCTCATTACACGGAATGTGATGCTTCACATCCGGTTTGTTTGTCCAGGTCTGAATGTTGACGATCTCCTTCCTGTCATCGTCCGACATGGACGAGCTGTCGATCTCATCTGCACAGAGAAGCGGCAGAGGTTCATCTTCTGTTTTTCTAAATAAAAGCTCAGACAGTTTTTAAACTTTCTTTAGTCTTGAAGGTTCCAGCAGCCGATTTTAATTTTCCCCTTGTGTTAAATCACAAGTCTAACACTTGCAATACCTGCCTGCAAATCACCCATCATCTCAATAACCACACCCAGAGGTTATATATAACCCCCCCCATCCATACGCAAGTCCTTTCCCTCCAAACCAGGAGAACAGAGACAACAGAGAACCAGTGAGTTGGACTTGTAACATGGACTTTTCAAACCTTGTTATTCTACTTTGGTTGACATCATTGCCTGGTTTTGAATGTTTATCTGTACGATGTTTCATTAGATTCCTTTGTTTGATACCAGAACGTGGAGAGATGGTGGATGAATGAATAAAGTAAGTGTCAGCTTCGTTTACTCCAGTTTATGGTCTGTGCTGACATTTTAAGTTGATATAATTGTATTTATTTTGTCTTTATGTTTCTGATCTCATGTAGAGAAAATCATCCATCTGTCCATCATGTAAACCAATGACCTGATCCTGAACTGTGGAAATAAATCATTGGAAGCTTCCTGTGTTTGAATGTGCTCTCCACATCAGATGTTCCATGAGCCAACGCCACCTTCAATGTAGTTTTTCCACCTTGGCTACCTGGCAACCTCACCTGTGTCATACTCCTCTTCATCACCGATACTGAACACGGGCTTTACGCCTCGGTAAGGTTTGCCGACACGGTCGCTGCTGCTCACGTGCCTACAGATGGGAAAAAAAAAACAAACAGGGCAACTTAAAGCCTCACATCAGTGGAAAGTGATGGAGAGTGACGTTATATAAACGTGACAGCAGGGTTGCACACAAATAGCAATGGCATGAAGATCTCCAGGCTGCAGTAAACATTCTGAGCTCACTACTGCCACAGGTTACACTGTTAAATACAAAGAAAGAGGTTAAATGACACGTTTTACTGGATCCAGGAGTCTACGATTAGTCACTGAATGAGAATCAGGGCTATTTGCAGTCATTTATATCAATAAGGTGGAGTTTAATTTGTCTGCATAGCCCTGACTATCATCTAAAAGAACAATGAAATGGAAAGACAGACTGGTCAGTGCATTTCCAAGCAAACGGCGGTGAAGCTGAGGTTCTCCCTAAAACGCCTCAGTTACTTGTGGGTGTGGAGATGACTCAATGCTTCCTGAAAGGCCGCAGCGGCTTCGACAGTGAGACCTTTACAGCAGTGCTACATGTTAGTGAAAGCATGAAGACAGATCTTAAGAAAGACGTCGTACGCAGCCCGCCCAGACTGTATGGGAATGTGTAGCGTTATTATACGAGCGAGCGGCGTTGGCAGAGATGCTAGGTACTAAGCATGCGTTAATGTGACACAACGCTACGTGTCCTACACCCCCCCCCGGGGGGAGGGGAGCTGGTGCGGGTCTGCAGCCAGTGGGCATGCAGGTGACAAAAACAGCTCGATGTCAGGGAGCTCTTACCGATCTGGAATCACCTTCTCTGGCCAAGGCAGATTGAAAGATATTCTAGCAATGGAATAAGGCACAAGGTATGGTGAGCTGAAGTTAGAATACAACAGAACTGCAGAACTAAATGTCAGTGTCAGTCGTCAGAACGACCACGTTCAGACTAGTCCAGTCCCTCCTCATGTCAGTCCACTGTGCATATTGTGAAAAGCAGCTAAAGGTCATAAGAAACATTTGTTCCGACTACATCAGCATAAACATGCATCAACCCCAAATCACACACAGCAGCCTGACTTCCCATTCGCCATCTAATACATGTCAAACTTAAGAAATGTATTATTTCTTTTTTCAATATATTGATTACACTTAAGCTGCACAATTATTTCAAAATATAATCATATATAATGCTTTATATATATATATATATATATATATATATATAATTAAAAATAAAGATAGTGTCTCAACATTGTTGTGCATTGTTAGCAGCGTAAGCGTTGTGGAGCTACAAAGACGCACCGGCCTACAAATCATATTCTCCGGACGTAAGGGAACATGTCGGTGTTAAACCTCAACAAAAATCACATCATCATCCTTTTAAAATTTTTTCAGTGAAAATAAAATACAAAAAATCAAATCGCAATATGATTTTTTTTGCATATCGTGCAGCCATTTTACCGAAACAAATCTCAATGTTAATGTAAATAATGAACAAGACTGTGACGTATCAAAGGTTTCACAGTAAATTACCGTGTTTTTGATTTTACTACAGAGAGGGAACTGGGTCCTCACCTGTCTACAGGGGTGGAGGTATTCTCAATGAAGCTGATCATCTTCTCCTTTACGTTTACTGACTTGGACTTGAGAGCAAAGGTCATTTTGTTCACCAAGGACTTGACGCCTTTGCCGTCTCCAGGGCTGCTCAGAGACTCTCCCTGTGTCGTCAGAAACAGAAAACAGTCCATGTAAAATGTCTGACGTGGAGCACGCTGTGTCAGCGATTCATGATAAACCCTGTGTTTATCGAGTGGAGAGACGCCCCCCTAGTCAAAAACTAGGGATTGGGCCACAAACACAGAGAAGCTTTCTTTGAAATACAGAAAAAAACACAGGGACGATATGATCCTGGGAGTGAAAACAGGTAAAACTTTCTTAAAGAAATATACCTGCCTCACTCGAGGGACTATTTTCTGTTCTGTTACACATCCTGTATGACATTAAATTTTATGCAGCAACTTTTCCAAACTCTGTCATCACTGTGTTTTCAACATCTCTGGCCACTTACATCAGCAGAGCTGAGGCTGCTGTGAGATCCTGATGTGCTGACGATCCAGTGGACGTACGAGGAGTCGAGGCCTTCGACGTTCATGTCGACCAGATGCTGTTGGAGCGCTGCGATCACACAGACCTCAGTGAGTTTCAATTCTTACCCATATCTAATATACATACACACCATTCACCATCATGTACTCACCCATGAAACCTCCTTTTGCAATGCTGACATACTCTTTGTTTTTCTGCAGGAGAAGCAGAGATGTTGTAAAGAAAAAGAAATTATTACATTTATCAAACTGTTTCCACACAGGAAGCAACAGATCAGTCCAGATAACCTTCCATCTTTCTCTTTCATCCCTCACCTGCAGGAAATGGGCCAACACCATGTTCATGTACATGTCCTCCTCCTCCCTCCCACTGCCCATGAAGCACAGGTGTTCTCCGCTGGCGATGGAGCCCGACTCTAAAGACTGCTTCTGAGCCTCCAACAGGGATTTCACAGAGAGAGCAAACTCAGACGGATTCTGGAGCATCTGTTGGAGGAAAGGAAGAAAAGTTTTCCTTCGTATACATTTTATACAGTCAATATACATGTTCATATAGAATCCCTACTGTCAATGTCTCACCAGGTCAGAGTCCAGGTGGAAGGCCGTGGACAGGTGCCCAGCGTTGTACTGCTCTGCAGGCCGACAGTCCACCACAAAGAACCGCACCCCATCCTGAGAGTAAAATCCACTGTTATCACATTACACATCATCTTCTCTCTCCTGCTTCTCACATGGCCAACTCGCCAAAAGGTCAATCATTTCCTCGTTAGTTTAAGTGAGTTAAATGTAACCTGAGCGTTGCTGACCTGCTGCAGCTGGTTCGCCTGCAGGATTTCAGGGACAGACACAGGGAGACACAGGGCCTGACTCAGGTCAATGTCCTCCTCTTTCAGAGCCACCAGGCTGCTGCCGAACAGATTCTGATTCATCTACCAGGGCGGAAAAAGCAAAGACACAACAATGGTTTTTAAACAATGACTTCTCTTTGTAAGCCCCCCCCCCCAGAGTCCTGGCTCTCTAACACTGCTCTGTTTGTATCAAAAACAAGACTCTGTATTTGTACACAGCGCCTCACCTTTCTGAGCGACAGAGGGGTCTTGCTCTGGTAATACTGAGCCAGAGAAAACAAATCTTCAATGTCTTCGGATTCCAGGAGAGAAGGAAACGCTTCCAGCATTTCTGTGACAGAAAGATCCTCGTTCATTTCTGCAGCTTTAACCAGATACAGAGAAAATCCACAAATAACAAAAAGACAGGAAGCCAGACTTACTGATGATGTCCTCTTTGCCGTCTCCCTCTTGTGCAAGGATGGACTCTCTGAGGGGGAATCAAACAAACACAAGTCAAATATACACTTAAGGTTCGTGAGTGTGATCGTGTTTCTGTGAAGCTTCAAGTAGCAGCGGATTACTTGGCATTGACGAGCATGACAAGCAAGAGGAAGAAGACAAGGAAGGGGTCGGCCTGCTGGAGGTAGGAGTCCCACACGGCCTGGGTGACGTCAGGAAGACAGTGACTGGAAAACAAACTGCCGAGCTGTGGAGGAGAGATAAACAAGGACACACAGTTCAGACATGGCTACGTGTGTATTAACTGTCTGAATCACTGGGAAATAACATGTGGGGAAAGAAATACTCACCCAGTTGATGGCGTAGGAGTCAGGTGTGATCTTTTTGGTGTCCAGGAAGGAGCAGAGCTCTGGCTCGTGGTACTGCAGCAGTAGTCTGTACAGGTGGAAGGGTCGGCCGTTCGGCACACAGTCCCTGAAACAAACATATTTTTACAGGCATCACAGTTAAAGTTTGTCTCTATGTGCAGTAGGGTGAAACAGACAGTGAGGCTCAGATGATTCACCTGGGGATGTATTTGTTCATGACAGCGTAGAAGCAGTTGTAGAGGTCGCTGCGGGGAAGCTGAAGCCCCAGTAAAGGCTGGAGCAGGTGCGGCCAGCTCAGCTCTGGAGTGAAGGTGATGTTGCGGGACTTACAGTAGAAAGTGATGACTGACTCAACGTCAGACACCATGTCACGCCTCTCCTCCTCTGATGCTCTGAGCTGATCTAAACGTAGGAACCAAGGAAGGTGTTCAATCACAAGTTTAACCCTGCATTACCCCAAATCCCCTGTCATCCTATTAACCACACCCAGGAAGTTATATAACCCCACCCTTCTGTTATATAACACCACCCTTATGCTACTTTATTTAGTTAATATCAGAGCAGTTAATTGTTAGTTAGCCTTTTATTGTTGCATGACTTTGACTGTTTATTTGTATTATGTCGCAATAGATGTTTAATATCTCGAAGGCCAAGAAAATACAGAGATAGTGGATGCATAAATGAAGCAGGTGGAAGTAATGTCAGCTTGATTTACTTTATTTCTTTTAATATTGTTAGTTAGTTATTTTGTCTTTATGTATTTTGATATCTCTCATGTAGAGAAGAAAATCATCCATCCATCCATCCATTCATCCGTTAACCATCTCCCTAAGCATCTTTAATTATGACAAATAAAACTGTCAGCTTCTGAATCCTGTGTTTAAATGTGCACTCTTCATTTTAAGTTTTTTCAGACAGTGTTTGTTCTTGTACAAGTTGCAACATTTGACATTCAAAAAGCAGAGAAATGTACAGTGAAGAACCTTCAGTAAGATTTTACACAACTATTAAAATATACATGAAAGAGCACTTTTTCTGGATGCTGAGTTTTTCTGGGCATCTTTCTAATAAGAGACTTTCTATTTTGAGCTTGTCAACTTGTCGGAGGAGTAGAATAATAAAAGACATTTGTTCCTCTGAAATCCTGAGGATCTTCTTTAGATACCTGCAGACTGTGTGACTGAGACCTAAAATTAACACAACACGTTTTTCTTCTCTCCTGCTGCTTACAGGTGTGTGCATCCGAGTGTGTGTGCGTCCTATCTGCTGCCTCGAGTTGAGACACACACAAACCAGAGAGTAATGGAAACTCTGTTCTGCAGCAACTAATTTCACGCTATTCATGTTTGGGAGCTGACTGTGTCCTTTCAGTGCCGCTGTCCCCAAAAAAAAAGAAAGAAATCAGCATTGTTTCAGGTATTAGAGGCACATGCATTTACTCACCAATCAGCTGTTGACTGCGGTTATGAATGAGTGTCTGTTCTGGTAAATCGAAGACGCCGTCCCAGGGAGACAGACTGTCTCCTTTTCCAGAGACATTTAAAGCGATCTGCCAACACAAAACAAGGAGGCACTGCTTAACATGCACACACTGAGTGCGAGAGGGACACTTGATAAACTCACTGATCTTCAATGCAGCTGTGTAACTTGATATTAACTGGTGATATTATTTGAGACTTTAAAACCCACCAACAGCTGCAATCTGAACAAAGTCCTTTCACCAAAATGAGCTAGCTTCAGTTTCTTACCAGATGATCATGATTACAAGCAACGCAGCAAAAGCTCAGAGTTGGTTAGTTACAGTAGGTGCAATAATTTACAAGGTTCACGTTGACAGGAATTGTTGCAGATGCAACAGATGAACAAAAGATAAATGTTGGAAATGTTTATACAAACTCAGCACATATCAAACAGCATTTCTGTCCAGAACAACAAATCTAACAAAATACAGTTCCTTCAGATTGGACAGTCTCCATAAAACACGGCCTCAACTTGTGTCTGCCATCGATTTAGTATAAAGATAATCGTAATGCCAATACTGGGCTTTTAATGTTCTTAATGGGGTATTAAACATGAGAACCAATACATCTACCTCTTAAGTTAACAGACATTAATGCTGCCTACTATTTTCCTTTTAAACTTATTTAAAACATATGAATTACTATATTTAAAGATTATATATTCACCTAATACAATTTAATACTGACAATTGTATAATTTTTTAAATGAACATTAAATGAATGAAGGCTCCATGAATGCTATGTTACATAAAATGACGGGGTAAAGCTGTCCTACAACTTCCCTTTCTTATGGTTACAGAAGTGAACAGGTGTTGACTGCCCAAAATAGAAGCTTTCATCATTTGTGGACATGCTTCATGTATAAAATATGTTGTAGGTATGTGGTTTCAGACTAGACTGAACTAAAGCCCAACATGCGGGTGTGTCATAAAGACATTACAGCTGTCACATCATTTGAGCACGAGATGCTGGTGTTTCCAGTCTGTTGACTTCTGCCCGACATGAGTAATTCCCATCGTCATGGCATGTGGACGAGTTCTAGTCACACACAAACCCCTTATCTTGCTGATTATGAGCTTTTACAAGTGTATGGTTTAAGCTACAGTAAGAGACACAATATCATATTCCTCACCTTCCACATCTTGGCCCTGTGTTGAGCTGAATGTTCCTGGACCTGGATGATGCCTCTCTCCATCTCCATGTCCGAACCCCCAGAGTCCAGAGCCTCAGCTAGATCCTGGTCCCTGAGGAGGCATGGACAGCACACAGTTACTATGGTTAAATGTTTTCTACAGAAGTATAAATAAAGTTGATCTTTGCCATGTAACAAAGCTGAAATTTCTTTACGTGGTGTGGAGAATAATGCCGGCCAATGTATGAATGTTTATCACTCAACATCTGTCACTGTGACAGTAACTTGTTTGTAGTCATGTTAATTTATACTGTGAATTATATTCAGAAGTTTGTAGACTTGAAATTAGTGGTGGCTTAACTGAACAGCCAATCTACAGAAAAGTAAATGATGATTATTGAGTCATTTCTCAAGTCAAAATGACCAAACACTGAATAGTTACAGCTTTTCAAATGTCAGAATTTGCAGCTTGTCTCTGTGTAATAACTAACTGTAAATTACCTGGAGTATCTCGACGTTTGGTAAAACCAAATAAGCAATTATATGCTGTGTATGGTAATCTGTAACCTGTACTTGTAATTACATTTGACATTAATCAAAAAATTAATAGTATAATAAAAATCAGACATCAGTTATAACCTCATGAAATATTTGTTGTGGTAGGTTGATCATTTCTGGTTGTCTTTTCATTATATTAACCAGTGAAATTAGCTGAACATCAGCGAGACCATTTAACAGGTGAGCCAGTAAAAATAAATGAGAATCAATGAGCTCTTGAACTGATTTTTGACCAATCCTGACAACTCCAACATTTTTCTGACAAGTCCATAACGTCACGTGTATCATGTAATATGATTTTATTTGAATGAAGCACATAAGGTGAGAACCACGGCGGTGTCAGGTGTGGTTCGGGTCGGTTTAAAACGAAGCAGAACTCGACAAACACCGGCTATCAGGCTAATTATTGTTAGCTTGCTAGCTAACAAGCTCTGTGTATAAACTTGTCCATACGAGAGAGAAAGTGATGAAACGATATATATATGTGACTGATATTTTCAGAGGCTCTTTAGTAATCTTTGTCCGTCTTGGAGACTTGACTGCTGAACAAAACCAACTTGGCTATTTAACATTAGCTGACTAGCTGCCGAGCAGTAACGGTACCAAACTGCTGTCGGACTAACGTCCATCGTCAGCGGAGCAGATTTAATACTCACACTCATGTTCAGTTACTTCACATGTAATTCTACCAGATGAAACCGACACGACTGTTTGACAATCGAAATAACGTCTCTAAAAACATTAGTCCGATAACAAATTGTCTCACCAGCTGCCCTGAAGAGCTTCCTCCACGGCGTCCGCCATTGTTGTGTTGACGGAGACACGTCAAGTGCCGTCAACACAGCCGAGGTGTCGCGCAACGCTGTCATTGATTAATGAGTACCTGAGATTGACTGACGAGAGCAACAAATTGTCCTTGTTCTCAGATTTCACAAAGAAGTCAGCACCTAAAGATGTGTGATTTATTATTGTAATAGATAGGAACCTGATGTTATGGTTATGGTTAAGAATGCTAAATGCCACATTTGACAGTCCACATCTTATATCAAACTCTCTTTTAATTGTAATAGGAAAAACACAAGTGCTACTAGTCTTATTAACAATGGCTGTATTTTACTGAAATGTACCAAGGAGCCAGCGTGTAAAAACACAAGGATCTTAAACTGAAGCAGCTGAAAGGAATTCAGCCATCACTGATTTAGTTGTTTACACTTTCCCTACATTACCATGCCTTCTGAGCAAAAGACCCATTACAATTAGGCTTACTTTTACAACAGACACTTACTTAAACTTAACATTAAGCTAAATTGTCTATTCAATGTTGAATATCCACCAGGGTTAGTGTGATGTTCCAAGTACTGTTAATTAATTATTTCATCTGTCTAACAGAGGAGTTGAGAATGTAAAACCATGAGCTCCTGTTTCTGGACAATCTCCAACCTGCTCAACATTAATGTGTCAGTTTGTGAGATACAAGTCAGTTTCATGTGGGGCTTCATATTCATTAAAATGAGCTGAATACTGCAGTGATCGATCTAGTCTACAAATCAGTTACATAGCCGTTTAAGATCTCCAAGAGAGAACCCAAAAAAGACTGAATATAAAATGCATAAAAAATAAGTTTCAATGACTGAAAACCAAATAATATTTCTCACTGAAAATGTATCAGAGTTCTCAGTGCTTTAAAAAAGCTGTACACAGTAAACTAGAAGAAACTTGTGAAATTCATTCCAGGAATTATAACTTTATTAGGATTCATATTCTTTCAGTTTGGTCACCATACATATCACTGATTTTCTATCAAACAGCCAAAATTTAATGGATATCTGCAGATTAACTGCTGAAGGTTACAGCCATTTCTTCCAGGTGAAGTTTCAATTTGTTTCTCTAAGTGAGAAAGATGATTTTTGTTGTGAAGTCATCCTCACATGCATGAATGCATGATTTGGTTCTTTGGCATTACAACACATTCAATCCAATGTAGCCATTACTGCTGATAGATTAATGAATGTCACAGGGAACAGGAGAGTTTCATTTTAGTTTTCTAAACGTTGAAAATGCTCCTCACATACAGTCAGCAGTGGTGGCTAATTTTATATATATATATATATATATATATATATATATTTTTTTTTTTACAGTGTATGGATGCTACTTGAGAACCAAATCATACACTGTACCAAGAGATACTCGGGGCTGCGTGTAGGCTGGAAACAATACGGCTTGGATTGTGGGGAGATAATTTGAAAAGGAGAAGAAAAAAATAAAGTCAAATCACTGTCTTAAAGTTTACTCTTTCAAAAGATGAAACCAAATGTAGCATGAAAATAAACATTTTACAATCAAATAGAAAATAAATCATGTCTCTTAAAGTGAGCTAGGAAAAAACCACTGACTAGCCAATCCCTTGTGACATCTCTTGACACTAGAGGCAATTCAAAAATAACATCTTCAAAAAAAAAAAAAAAAAAAAAAAAAAAAAAAAAACTAAAGACAAAGTTTGTTAAGTTTTTCTAATCAAAAGTGTTTTGCCCAAAGTATCTTATAGTTGGGCTTTTCCTAGTGTTCATGACAGCACGAGCCTTGCATTTACATTTAATTATAAAGTGAACATGCTGCACAATGTATATAAAAAAAAAAAAGAAAACAGGCAATTCCATCATTAAAAAAAAAAACAAAACAAAACAAAAAAAAACAAACACTTAACCTCTCTGTTGCCCCATATCCATGGGATCAATTCCAGCATTACAAACACAAACATTATACATTTCACTATTATTTTAATCTTGCATTCGAAACTGTTAATGTATGTTACAATATGGAAGTAGCTGGACAAAAACACTTTAGATCAGCATAAATTAACACGTGAGCAGTCCATCAGAACTATATAAAGCTCTCACAGTATTTTCTGTAGATTTAAAAGTGTCACAGAAGCTTTAAAGTCAGTGATTGGTTCAACAGACTGCGCACATTTCAATTGTCTTACATTTCACATAGTTACTAGTAATTTAGATAGGTATACATGGCCATTCATGTATGTTTTTCCTTTCTCTTTATTCTGAGCAATACAAAGGTTTTATGATGAAGTTCTGGTTGAATTTAAGTGTCAGCAAAGGGCTGTGTTGGTTGTAGACCCCCCCAAGCGCCCCCGACCCAACAACCCACGAGTGTACCAGTGACCTGGATCACAGCCTCTGTTTGATTGTGAACAGAAATCCTTTTCCACGACAACAAAACCCTTTAATGTGATGTAAACATGGTGTATATTCAGGGCTCTTCATGTTTTTTTCTCATATAACCCAGTACTCATTTTTTTCCCTACAAAATCAAAGTAAGTCAGACAGTTGCAGTTTTAACAGTTAAGTTCAGCAATGAAGACTGAGATTGGCGATCGACTGGCAGAGAAGTTAGAGTGTTGGAGGTTTCAGACCGTATTTCCTGGCCACTTCAGTCTGGGCGTACGCTGCATCACATAATGAGTACAAATGGGCCATCTCCATCTCTGACTTGGCTAGATTAATTGCCTTGTTGAACATTTCTATGGCCTTGTCCAGATTCCCCCTGAAAAGAAAATCCTGGTTATTTCAAGCACGTTGAGAAAGACCTCTAATGTGTGGTTTGGACTGAATTGTTAATCTCACCTTTGCACTTCAATCGTTCCCATAGTTTCATAGGCAAAGTCACACTTGTTGTCAATTTCAATCGCCTTACTGATGAGCTCTAGACCCAAGTCAAGGTCTTGTTTCCATTGAAGCTGTAACAACCTGGACATATATTAAACAATTACCTTCATGTCCTGTTTACATGAATCACATGAATCACATGAATCATGAATGAACCACAACATAAAAAAGGAGAATAGACGCCTACCCCTTGTGGACATATGTGGTAGCATTGTCTGGTTCCAGTTCAATGCACTTATCATACATCTCGTCTGCTTTTCCAAACTGCTGCTGATCAGTCAAAGCCTGAGAAGATCACAAAACAACTTGTACGGTCATATTTTGAACATCCATAAGGTCTAGTGCTGTTGTTTTCTTATCCGAATAAAAACTGTTACAACTGACATGTTGTACAGAAGGCAGAGCAAAGGAATAATAAGCAAACATCAAAATCGCGGTTTTGGTTTCATACCTGAGCATAAAGAGCGTAGCCCTCAGCACACTTTGGGAACCTCCTGATAACATCCTCGAAGCCGTCCATGGCCGTCTGTACTTGTGCTGGGTTGTTTCCAGTATATGCTTGTCTGTACTGAAGAACACAAGAGTAAAAGAAACTTAGCAGTTAAACTTAAAGGCATGGTAAAAGCTGAATGTAAAAAAAAAGCCCAAATTAGGATAATAAATTTTATCATTTATTAAACAATAAAGATAATTATCAGGTAAACTTGCTTTTCAATTAGTCTTTAGTGGATAACTTACAAGAGCAAAGCATTTCTGTGCCTGAGCCAGAGCAGAGTCAGGCCTGAGCAGGATACACTCGTCAAAGTCTCCCACTGCCTCGTCCACCTGGTCCAACAGGATCTTCAGCTGAGAGGAAATACACTTGTCATGAAGTATAAATAAACACAACCACCATTTTGCATTATGGCAGAGACGGTGCAAACTGACACCAAATCAATTAACAATCAGATGGTAAAGAAACCAGGTCAACCTCCTACCTGACCCCTGTGGTGATACACATCAGGGTTGCGTGTGTCAATCTCAGCTGCCATGTTAAAGTCTTGTGTAGAGAGCATAGGCTGCTGCTGCTGCATGTACATGCTTCCACGCTTGATCAAAGCGTTGGCTCGTAGCTGTGAAAATTACACAACAGAGACAAACTGTCAGGTTGTAGCTCTCCAAAGTCCCTGTAAAGGTAGTCTTCGTTTATACAAAACATTGGTTCAACTTGCGGGAAACTTTGATGATTTTTGATCAAACTTGCAGAAAAGTTGCGGTGATTGAACAAAAATGCAAAGTCGCTCAAAGTCGTGGGAATTGGTTGAATTTGTGCTAATTAAGGCAACATCGCGACTTTCTGGATGGACAGGCATACAGAAGAACTTTATCATTAAGTTCTTATATGGTGTCACCCATTCCCCTTACATCTCTGGAAGCCTGAGACGACGACTGGCCTAAAGCCACATGACCATACGCCCAACCCATCTTTGTAGAAGCCCCATTGGCAGATATATATTTGCATATGATTGGTTGTTTTAAATTTTTACCCTCTTTAAAGGTTGCTTGTAATATATTTTGTGATGACCCTGATGAAAGGCCACAAACCGAAATGCATCAGTTTAATAATAAAGTTCTGTTTACTTCAAGTGCTGCTGGAGTCTTAACATTTTTCTAACCTCAACCAAGAGCAGGCATTAAACAAACAACCCTTACCTTCACATTGGCGTCATGCATGTTGATTACTCGGTCCAAATCAGGCTGTGCAGCAGTAGCGTTACCAATCAGCAGGAAGAAAGTGGCACGCAGCAGCAGAGCCTCGGCAGTGTATCGACCACCTGACTCGATCTCCTTGGTGCATTCACTGATGATCTTGTCGTAGTTCTCCTCCTCCATGTACTGCTTTGCCTTCAGGTAGCCAGAGCTATCGAGGTGAAGAAGAAAAAATAACAGATCAGGAAAAGTGTTTATCAATTTTGCAAAATTCCTATGAAATTTCCTGTGGATATTATAATGAATTAAGATGGTTTTGGTCATTCCGACTTTTACTGTAAAGACACGGTGAGGCTAAAGTTCCCAGATCAGAATCTGAAGTGGAACCATGAAATCTTCTGAAAACATTCACGCTCCCCTGAGGACACATGACTTAATAACTACTTCTATAGCTCCAAACTCAGCTGAAATTATAAACTCTTTACTCTTGCATCTGCAGCACTGCCCTGCATCTCCTTGTGCTCAGAGTCCAGCTCCTAAATTATCAGTTAGTGACAGAGAAAGAGTCAAATTATTACTAAATACAGAACTTTTTCCACCTCTGGAACATGAATGTGTTCAGAAATTTCACTGCCCATTGAGTTTCACTATTTTGGCGTACCGTTGAAAACACAGATTTCTATTGACCATTACCAGCATCTTGTCCTATACCACCAGCTGCCTTGTCCCAGGTAAAAAAAAAACACCTAAATTTACCAATAAACTGATAGTGAGTAAATGTCCTCTGACCTCTCAGTGACCTCAGCTGCCTCGCCTTCTTTGTCCTTGTCTTCATCTTTCTTCTCTCCCTTCTGCAGGGGCTGCGAGATGATGTCATCGGTGAATGAGCTAAAGTAGGACTTGATGAACTGAGGGGAAGGCATCATCGGCTCACGGTTCTACAGAGGAGGGGTTTAAAACCACATGTTCATTGTGACAATTCAGGGAAGTAAAATACAAAGAAATGTCTCTCGAAGTGGACAAATACCTTGTACTTCTCTTTGGCCTTCTCTTTCCCCAGCTGCTTCAGCACTTTGTCTGCCAGCAGCATGCTCTGTTGGTTCTGGAAAGCCTCAAGAATACACACTGCTGTGACATCTGGAGGATACACAGGGAAACATAACCGACAATGTCAAAGTCAATAAGCGTCACACATTTGAAGTTAAACTTGGAAACAGACATTTTGAGAAGAAAGAAGAACGTCTCACCCTCTAAGCACTCCTTCTTGTTGTCTAGTTTCTCCAGAGCTTTGGCCCTCCTGAACAGAGCCTTGACATAACGTGGATTTAACCCCACGGCCTGAGAGCAGTCCTGCACCACTTCTGTCCACTTCATCTGAAATGACAGTTATACACCAATTATCTTCAAAACAATACAGTACACAGTTCTCCAGAGGTCTGTCCACTCCCCAGAGAAGGTTTACAGGTGCAATGCAGACACAGACCCACTATTTGTTTATTTCATTGTATATATTTGGAGATGAAATTGCTAGAAAAATGAATGGCTGCATGACTTATGGTCACTAAAGCTGGTGCTTAAATTAAATTATTATAATCTGAAGCAAAACCTAGAAAACTATAGTGATACTGACATTTGAAGACCAACATATAAAACTAATTAATTAAATTAAAACAGTTTAAAATCAAATGGATAATGAGCACTATAAGAAAGTTACTGAGGTCACTGATTGATCAAAGTTTAAACATTACATTTCCAGTTGGAGAGCTGGTGTGAGCGGAGGACCTCGTGAGGTTTCATTCAGCTGTGAGGTAAACCTTCAGTCAAAGATGAAGGTGGAAAGATTCTGCTAGTCATTGACCAAACAGGTGTAACCATTGTTTTCTGTGGCGGTATGCCATCCCTCCTGGCTTCAAGTTGCAAGTTGTTGCACTTTAACATGCACTGAATCCATTTCAGGCATATTTTAAGTTGAAGGAAGGGGCATCGAACTACGTGGTTTTCCTTCTACAAGCACCTCAACACAGTCAACATCTCTTCAGAAAATGAAGATAACTAAAGTTGTATGGGTCACATTTCACATTTCACAACAGTCTCTGCACAGATTAAAAGAAGGTGGTGCCAACCTGCTGTTCGTAGGCTGCTGCTCTGTTCTGGTAAAACGTTGACAAATCGGCCTTCTGCTCCATGGGGCAGAGAGCAATGGCCTCTGTGTAGCACTGGATGGCGTTCTCATACTTGCCAGCTTTGAAGTACTTGTTTCCCTTGTTCTTTGCTGCTTGGGCCCGATCCAAAGGGCTCTGAATAGATGAGAGAAAGGGTAACTTTTATTTATTAGATCTTCTCCCCTGTGACTCAGTCGACTGGATCAAAACTGTTTTTCTACATAATTAAGTATCCGTCAGCATCTTACACAGCATGAGGCTTTTCAGGTGAAATGCATGCATGTGCCTAGGATTGAATGCCATCAAAATCACAAGCCAAAAGTGCAAAGAAGCCATTTACAACAATGTCTACAGGAACAGACTTAAAATATTAACAGCAAATCAAACATTCATGGATGTGCATAAACTCAAAATTTGAGTTCAGGTTTCTTGAGCTAACTTATTCCAACGGTGTCATAAGGAAGCAAGGAAACGCTGAAACAACATATACACTTGGACCAATGA